AGTTTTGCACGACAATAAGCTTCGGGTCCCGCGCCTACGTCACAGTGAACGAGTGAAGCCGGCCACAGTCGAGCGAGTGCCTGCTGTACTGCCATATGTCAGAGGTGTCACTGACAAGATTGGCTACATCTTGAAGCGTGCTTCCATTAAAACATATTTCAAGCCGCCGAAGAAGATTAGTCAGTTTTTACCATCAGTCAAGTGTAATATTCCTCTGCAAGATGCAGGAGTGTACAAGCTGGATTGTGAATGTGGTCTCTCTTATATAGGACAAACTAAAAGATCCATAAAAACCCGCGTTAAAGAACACATAGCTGATGTGAAGAATAGACGCTCCGGGAAGTCTGCAGTCTGTGAACATGTACAGGATCGCCCCCGTCACTACATTAGATTTGATAGACCACAAATCCTCGCTAAAGAACACCGATTCCTTCCAAGGATGATTCGCGAGGCTATTGAAATCAAAAAACATCCTAATTTCAATAGAGAAGATGGCTGGGTGCTACCATCTGCTTGGGATCCCATAATTAATAAAATTAAATCCCAACCCAAGCATACAACTGCAAGACTTCATGATACTGTAAGTTCATACTGCGTAGATCGGAACAAAAATTAATAATTTTTAATCTGGAGGTAGCCGTGGTTAACTATGACATTGGGACGTCATACACCTCAGTCCCCCCCGTGACCATGGGTGCTGTAAAGTGCTTGAAACGTCGGGAATGTAAAATAAGTTAATATACGCGATAAAATCCGTAAAATTAGTTTCATTTAAATGTGTAGTGTTCGCGTAAATATAAGAAATCACTATGTAAAGCTAGTTTTTATTTTTATTCTATATACCGTGAAAATTCGCGCCAAATGAAAAATAACATAATTGTTTTAACATTAGATATATTTTAAATTTAGAACACGAAAACCACACTGTTTTTTATTAGCTGGCCAGCGGTTAACTTGTCGAAAAAGTTTTTATTTTGTTTAAAAAAGGAATAAAATCTGAATGATTGCTAAATACAGGTTTTTGATGTTTCCATTTTTATAATATGATCTCAGTGTAAAGATTAATAACTATGAAATATAATGAATACCTACTTTGGATACTCTACACGTCTGTAATACTGTTGTATGTGGTCACACAGAAGAGTGTCTTTAATTACGTGACCGATACTGTATATACTCGTATATATATATGCGGTGCTCCGGATTGTTTTTTTTATATATAAAAATTTATTCGACAAGTAGTTTATTTCAATATCATTGGTTGCAATTGTTTTACTTGTTTCCTCAGATTGCATTAATTACACAATTGACACAAGAAATAGAGCGCACGTGCGCTAGCACGAGCTCTCATCCTAATTGAAATTGCCGATGACGTATATGTATACAACACATTAAATCTATTAAAGTGAGCTGTTTCGATAAAGCGGCGTAAGGTGTTGCGTAAACAAGCATTGCTTGAGAATGAATGATGATGATGATGAACGACTGCCGAAGTTCAAAGTATCTTTTGTTCATGGAAAGGCGAAGAAGATATATAATATGCAACATGAAACAGTTACCGCCTGTTATAAAATGGATATTTTTTGTTGTGATTACTATAGCCTCGTTGGCCTAGCGGTCGCAAGCGCGATTGCTGATCTTGTGGACTTGGGTTTGAATCCCACAATGGTTTGAAGGACACAAAAATAGGTTATTACGTTTTTTTTTTCAATAAATTCTTAGCAACAGCCTCGAAAAGCAACGTACGTCGAATTGAATTACATCGCACTATGAGTGTGAGGAAACAGAGAGTGCATCTGTATTGCAGGTCTGCGTTGAGGCTGACTGCCGTCACTTGAATTTGGTGTTTAGGGCAAAACATTACATTAGGCCTATTCCTTTATATTCGAATCGCATATAATTAAACAATCTGAACGGAAATTGGTTTTTTACATCTGCTAAATACCTTACAGAGGAAAACTCCTCGCACTGTTTCTAATAGATCACATTGAGCAAGGATAAATAATCCAGAGAAATTTGAAAAATAGTTTTTTAACGATCTATGCTGTCACGCATTTGTTTCTCAAGCCCGAACGACCGTTTTAGACAAAGGAGAGGATCTACTGTAACTTGTACTGTTTATACCTACGAATAATTGACAAAATTATCATCCATTATTTCCTTATTTTGTTCTCCAAACTTGGACCAATTTTTTTTCTTCTTTATATTGTATAAGGAAAATTGCGGCTTAGTCTGTATATCTATATATTTTACTGGACTGGATGTTTTGTAATGACGGAATAACTTGCCAGTTTAAATAGAACAGAATAGTATGTTTTTATTCATAGTAATATAGAAAAAAAACCTAAATTAATAGTTAATCTATATTGAAAATATTTTTTTGTAGGATAAGAGTGAAAAACGAGCACACAGTCCACCTGATGATCAGTGGTTCCTGTGGCCCATAGACATCTACATCTCTGTTACAAAACAAAATGCAGATGCGTTTTCACCCGTGAGGACTAGGATGGAATGCCTCATTTCCAGTAAAAAGGGCCTCCGGCCACCTGCACTCACCAAGCGAAACGCAGAGGTAAACCTCTACTTCACGCTAGTATTCTGTGAGGTCGTGGTACCACCCCGGTTCGAGCCGGCCCATCCATGCGACAGCAAAAGCTGCCGCCTGGCTCTACCACTGTTCAAATATTTTTTATTACAACTGATTTGAAAAATACTTTTAGAAATTACTTAGAGAAGAACCAGCATATTCGAAATTGAACTGTCATTCATTAAATGCTTAGGTTTGTATATTACTTTCACTGCACTTTGATATATAAAACATAGTTATACAAAATACAAAATATAAAATAAACGCTTTTTTGCCTTGAAATACAGCTCGAACTTTCACGCTCGTATATACTTCACACCTTGGATAAAGTCACACAAAATTTACAACTTATTCAGCTAACCTGTCAAAAATTATTTATCGGCAACCTAAATCGGCAACATTTTAAAAATATTTACTCTGTTCGACTGTTTTAACACAGACTATTAAGTATTTGATATAAGCCTTAGAATAATACCATACATGTGTTTGTACCTACATACTCTGAGACATCAACTTGCTGCATGTCTTACCAGGTCGTCACTCTATCTAGTGGGGGGTCACCCTACACTTCGCCTACAGATACGAGGCTGTCATTCAAGAACCTTTTTTCCGCATCGATTATCGGTTCTTCGAGCTTCCTTGGGGGAGGCCTATGTTCATCAGTGGATTTGTGAAGGTCGGTAATGATGACGATGACTCTGAAACATTGGCAATATGAAAGTCAATAAACGACAATTATATGTTTGATATTGGGAGTATGAACGTAAACAATGTATTTTTATTTTACTTTTGTAACACGTCTTATTTAAAAAAATGTAGCTTTTTGCAATTCTTCTTTAGATAAACTTTCACTTTGCCAAATCTTACACTTGTCCGTGATCACAATATGTTTAAAAAGGGGAACCAATTTTTTTCCTTCATGTAGCAATATATTGCAAATGAATTATAATAGAACCAGCATGGTAGCGATCACCTCATTCCTAGGAGCTATTTTGTGTATTCCTTAATATTGATTGACAAACTTTAAGTATACTAATTTACACGTGGTAGAGCCATGCTGCAGCTATTTATGGTTGTAGTACGAATGGGTCGGCTCGACCGGGGAAGGACCACGCTCTCACAGAATACCAGCGTAAAATAGCATTACGTTACTGTGTTTCGTATGGTGAGTGTAGAGATCCGGAGACCCTTTTTACTGGAAACGAGGCATTCCATCTTAGTCCTCACGGGTGACAACGCATTTGCATTTTAATTCGTAATCGAAGATAGATGTAGATGTCTATGGGCCACAGAAACCACTTACCATCAGGTGGATTGTGTGCTCGTTTGTCACCCTTATCCTATAAAAAAAAAATTCTGAGATGAATTAATTTATAATAACAATTCTGTGAAGCCTATTCCTAGTATAAATATCTGTGTTCTTATCAAGGCTATATATCTATTTTGTCCGTCGTAGTACTTAGTGCTATTATTTATTCTGTGGTCGTAGTCACTCTTTTCGTACAAGCAAAGTTGCTGTTGCTATGCATTATTATGGTGATATATAGTATTAACTTCTAATGTGTTCCATGAATATATTATGACAATAAGTCGTTAGTAAGTAGTGTTAATTTATTTAAATGGTATTTAAATTATGAAAATATTTTCTAACAATTAAGTTGGAAAAATCATTTGCACAAAAATGTGTATAATAATGTATTTTATTCTATTATATTTAAAACAATAGATCTGGCCAATGTCAGTAATAAAGGACGAGAGAAAAATAAATCAGTTTAATCGAAATAATTTTCTCGTATATTGCTCTTAGTGATGTGATTCGTGTGATGTCGGTGCTAGATGATTTCTTTTAAATAATTCATCACCCATTTCATACCGTGGATATTTTAAGTGGCAACTATGAGATATGCCAGTGAGATCTCTTTTACAGAATTTATTACATCAGACGTTAAATATCCAGACTGGTGATGGGAAACAGCGTCAATAGTCGAGACTAAAATTTTAATCGCTATTTCACTAGCTAATTAAAAAATAACCTACCAAAGATGTGCCGGTTGTGCTCGAAGTGCCGCTGGTGCAAATCCCACACGGAAAAAGTATTGGTACGGGTTACAACCAATTGTTCCGGGTTTGTATGTTTGTCCTTCCGAAATGTATGTATGTAAACTGCCTCTACAATACGGGAGAAAATGTTAGTGCGGGGCAACTTTTTAAAGAAGATAAAAAATTATATGTATTACAATCTCCTAGCATAAACAATGGAATATCATGGAATTTAATATAGAAAATAGCATACTTGAGAGTAATGAAGCCTTTTGCCGATTCCTAAAATATCAGTGGCAGCATTTGCCGTTTATGTATAAGTAGATAATTTACCATAACTTATTTTACTTTCAGGTAAAAGTACGCCAGGATAATGGTAGAAATCAGTAAACACCTGTTCGATGAAAAGTGCCGGGACGTCAGCTGTCAAAAATTATTCCATCCTTGGAATCAGAGTTGTTTCATGGCGTCCCTATTTGGATACAAACAATCCTTTTTAGGTAGCGCTAAGTTTTATTTAGTAATACATTTGGTAAGTATGGTTTTCGAAGGATTTTATCAGTTTATTAATTTCAATAATTTGTGATGTCTGACACATTTGTTAAAATTTGTTTTTAGCTTTTGTAGTTTTGAATCAATAAATAGACCCTGTGCCTTTCTCATAATGTTAATTTGTAATGTAGGTGACATTTTCTTCTTCTTCTGTTCATATTATGTTTCGACTGTTTATGTTTCGACGGCTCCATGGTGCAGTGGCTTAACAATGAGTTCCTGCGCTGGGAGCCGTGGGAATTCCGCACGGAACAAGTATTTGTATGGCCTACAAATAATTATTCCGGGTCTGGATATTTGCCCTTGTGCAATTTGTGTTTGTAAACTGCCTCCACGATACAGGAGAAAATCCTAGTGTGGGGGAAGCCGTTTTAAAAGAAAAAAAAATATATTTAACCTATTATAAGCCACTGCAATAATCCTCCCAAAAACAGGAGAGGCCATGTCTAGCAATGGACTTTAATGAGTTAATAATGATGAAGAAGTAGAGTATAAACGAGCTAACAGTCCATCTTCTCGAGCAAGTAAATTCAAACAAAGAAAATCACGCTTGTGTTATCAACCTTGTATACTGTGTTTCATTGCTTCTTCATCACTCGTAAATATACAAGTACTAGCACCCTTACTCGAAACTTTAACACAACGGGAGGCTGCTTTGCTGTTGCAGAAATAACGAACAGAGTGGACCCCTATATAGAAAGAGTTCCACTGTAAAATGTTAAGATATTTCTGGTTATTCCAGTTTTTAACACGTTGTCTTGGCTGTCCGGACTGGATAATTAATTGGATCTGTGACTGCTTAATTGGTGTAAACGTGACTGCTGATCATATGTCCAGGGTTGGGAACAATATCAAATAATAAGTTTTCCGTCAAGAAATTTTACTAGCTGTCTGGAGTCAGGAAGTTGAATGTGTTTCACTCCCGTGCCTCGGACAGCACGTAAAACCATTAGGCAACAGCTAAGTCAGTGCGTTTTACCATCTTCAGCTACATAACAAATTATCATCAAGTGTAATACGAGTAGTAGTCAAGCATTGGCTTATAGCAGTAAAAAAAGAGTAATAACTTTTGGCAGCCAATACGTTACTAATAACAAGAAAACAAACACTACAAAGTACAAGGTTGTGTGTTTTATGGTTTTCGCCACGACCGTTGTGAGCAAAATGACATATTTTATTTATATTTTAGTGACAATTATCTCTTCTAGCTGTGCTTAAAACACAGGATCTATTTATTAGGAAAATTCACCAACCAATAAACTATGTAATGGCTTGAAAATATACATGATCATTACAGCCCGTCACAAGTCCACTGAACATAGACCTTCCCTGAGTCATACAACAAAACACAGACCAGAGCCACCCATCGACTTCCTGAATATCTTACAAGGTCGTCACTCCATCTAGTGGGAGGCCGTCCTAAACTCAGCTTGCTGGTACAAGGCTGCTACTCTAGAATCTTTCTTCCCCATCGGTTGTTGATTCATTGACCTATATAGCTCGATATATCCTACATGCCTATGACCTATTTTTTTAAAGAATAAGGATGACAAACGAGCACACAGTCATCTAAATTTATCATCGATTAAGAATCAAAAAGCAGATGCGTTGTCACCCGTGAGGACTAAGATGGAATGCCTCGTTTCCAGTAAAAAGATTCTCTGGTTCTTTACACTCAGCATACGAAACACAGCAGCATTAAGCCGCTATTTTACACTGGTATTCTGTGAGAGCGTGGTCCAACCCTGGTCGAGTTTACCAATTCGTGCTATAAACATAATATAGCTGCAGCTTGGCTTTACCACGCAAAGACATATTTAATTAAAAATTAAAATATTTCTAAGATTGTGTTGTTACAGTTCCTAACAACTACAGACGATGTATAATACATACATATGGTGTACAATAGTAATTACGAAGGACAGACAGCTTGTTTGTCACCCATTTTTTATGAAAATTTTAATATTCAGTTGTTATCTTCATAAGCTCGTCGTCGTATCTGATCGTGTAACTTCTGTACAACTAAACCAATTGTGGTCATATTAACACATATAATATTTATTTTGTCGAGTCGTTGGTTCATAGCCATACATACACGTGTTACCAATTCTATATTTATTGATCAAAATGAGGAAATCAAAAAATGTTGGCCCAGTTGGGGGCGCTGTGGTCGAGTAATTATTTAATTTTAAATTTACGCTCTAAAAAGTCTGGAGCGAATTCGGATTGAAACTCATCGCCCCACCTATCGGAAAGGGTATAACAACATCTGCTCGGCCAGCTTGTTTTACATATAAGAAATAAAACTTTTAAAGATATTTTGTAATACCACTAAACTAAACTACTAACAAAACTTCTTTAATGTTTTACACATCACGCAGAAAATGGATAGTGGAAATCTCTTCTGTATTGTTGTTATTAAGTACTTATTTTGTGTAATTATGGCTGCAGCAATAATGGGCTTCGGACGAGGAGAAACCACGCTCTCTCAGAATACCAGCATGGCATACGCGAGGTCGCGTCTATTGTAGACGACTTAAGTATTGTGCGGCTGGTGACACCTTAAATAGCACCTTAAATCTGCTGTGATTCGCGTTATAAGTGACGATAACTGGAAACACTTTTTTTATTTATTTTATTTTAGTCATAACGAGGAAATCCATCTTACGCCTAAAGGTAATCGCATTTGCAGTTTGATTCTCATTTTTTTTTACGAAAAATATACAACAATCCATAATGATATAGTTATAGTTATTATATTATAAATTTAAAATTTTAGCTACAAAACCTGATGCGTGGGAAGAAAATACTAACAAGGAAGGAATTAATGCAAATAGGCGAGTATTATGTGAGATCAACAATTTTTGGGGCGTTCGTCAGTGGAACTTGCATTACACTCGGTTGTTTATTTAGGTAAGGTAGGTGTTTGTTTAATCCCTATTAATATTACATACATAAACCGCTCCCCAATGGTACTATCACTAAATAGCACTTACATTAATACACGCTATATTCGATCACATTTTTATAACCTGAAATAAATTTTACAAGATCTTAATGCGGTTTTCGTTATCATTTAAAGTATTTCTCGAGGAAGGTCTTAAAATCTATGAACATAAATATTTCAGTGAGGGTAGTCTCGTAAAAAGAAGCTGGCATTGATGAATCCATGGAAACCATATTCGTGAATTTCACCAAAGCTTGGACAAATCGCAAATACACATAAATTCGCTTGTGGTTTGCCCCAGTTCTTATATTTACCGTGTTAAATGACAATGAAAGTTATTAATAAGTTTATGTATATAAAAGTCACGATTCAGACGAGTTTTGAAAGACTTGTCAAGTTTTTGGTAGAACTTACATATACCGGATTTTTACCATATTGTATAATAGGCGAACGAAGTAGAAACTACGAGCATAGATATTTTTGTTGTTTGTTTTTATTTCTTAGCTTTTTATTAAGTTTATCTATACTGCTCTAAACTACTTACCTAGCGGCTGGTTTAAAGTCCAGGGTATTACTATAAATTTATATATTCTTGCCACTCGTAAAGTAGGGTACACATGATTTGAATTTCAAAATTGAAATTAATAAAAATAAAAAACCTTTAATTAAAACATATGAAAAGTATCTTTGACATAATATGTTTTTACTTCAACCACCTATTACTTTCCTCATATTAAAAAAGTCAGGCCGGTAATACTTGACTACGTAGAGTTGGTGATAGAATATCCATTACCCGTATCGTAACTGGCGATGGGCAGCGGCGTCTTCCTAATAACTACTAAAAAATAAAAAACTGCGGTTATGTATACACCTGCCAAGGGTGGCAACTATGGAATATCCTCCATAAGAGGCAATCTATGAAGAGGCTCATGCTCACCAGTAGTATTTTGATAAGCAGTAAAGTTAATGGTAACGGTAAAATGTTATTACCGTTTTAAAATTTAGCACTTGGTTGACCTGCACTAATTACAGTTACCAATATTATTGGTACCGTCGGGGATTCCAACCGGGTTGCTCGCGTACTGTGACATTTGCGGTGAATGCTTGAGCTACCACAGCTCGTATACGTGATCATTTTGATGCATTTTTTGACAGTCGCATAGTATGTTTTAAATATTTTACACATAATTATCTATTTACAGATTTCTTATGGGGAATAGAATGACCTATTACACTTATTTACTTGTGCCAAATACATTGAATGGAATTTTTATCTTACTGGAGCCACCAAGTAGAAGAGGATTAGTCACAAACTTGTTTTGTAGTTTGGTAAGTGTTAAATTTAAAGTCACTGGCTATTTTTTATCGTCATCATCATCATCATCTTTATCATTATCATTATCACAGCTTTTCACAAGTTAACTGCTGAACATGGGCCTCACCAAAGAAATGCCATAAAACAAGGTCCTGAGCCACTGCATACATCGATCTCTGCATGGCTTACCATGTCGTCACTCCATCTAATTTTCGATTAATCACTCTCTGTCAACTAAAGTCTTTCTTTAAAATTAGTTTTATCAAATATACAAACCCTAGTTTGCCAGATATAAATGACATGGACATTTGTCCAGAACGGAATATTAATTAATTTGTAGGCCACACAGCACGAGAGCATTACTCGTGCTGTGAGGGATTCAAATCTTTGGCCCGCAGCGCCGTAGCCAAACTCTTCGCCATAGTGATACCAAGCCATCAAAACCAGCAGTGCCCTTTAGCAAACATTCCTGATACACTATAAAATCAAGGCAGACTCAACAGCATTTTCGTTCATCGTTTACCTACTAGAAGAGATATGGACGAGTGAGATAGTATCTGTAGTGGCACTAACTAAATAGTTACAGCAGTATTACTACGTAACTGCACAACGCAACATTTAACTACCGGTTGTAAAAATTATGTTGAAAACGGCCTTTAAAATATTATAATTATTTTCATTGTAAGTATCAGTATGTAACAATTTCAAGGTAATGTACATCACGCAGTACGTTCAAAATTAGTTAATAGTTGCTAAATAAGTTTATTACACAATACACGAATAAATTTATTATTCACTAGATTTTTACCGTATGGGCTTCAATTTACGAACATCATTAAATGCTGTTCCATGCCAAATTTAGCAAAATTCGATCACTTTTAGAGCCACCTCAGTGTCTATGTCTCTATGTATGTTTGTTAACGGATTTTTTTCAATTCTTAAAGACAATTGGACATAGAGAATAAATAAGGTTTTCAGAATTGCATTAATATCAAATAATTATGTCTAGAAATATCTACAATTTTTTTTATCGGGCGTGTCTTCCGACATATCCACAAGAAAGGTAAATTGGTAAAGGTAAATTGTCAAAATTTATTATTATTATTTATACGTGCGTGTGTATAAATGAATGTAATGGAATATTATAATTCAGTTTTTACCCACTGACGGTCGTATGAATACTCTATAGTTTTGCAGACCTAATAAGAACCGATGACAATATAATAGTTTTATGACCACGACCTAGTACTAGTACTGTCACTATGATCAGAACAGCTTATGTTCAAAACTTGTTGTTGCAGTGTTTTTTTTTTGTCTTATATTATTTAATAATATAATGACAAATTTATCGCAATGTCGTGGCGGCGTAAGTGAATCCACTATGCCGTGATGTTGTAGGTTACGTAAGAGGCAACAGGTAGAAAGAAAACACGAGGCATAACAACTTAAAAATAGTAAAAACCAGTGATTACCAGCAATAGCAAGCATGGCAACTATTGCAAATATCTCCACTTTGAGGCAATCAATATACTCAAAATTGAATGATAATATCGGCCTAAGCTCAGTACTGGACTTTTTAAAGGATGTAATGAATGAATGAAATAAATGACGCAGGATGGTGGTGGCTAGTATACTTCATAGACATCGCCACTTACTTTCAAATAAATATGGCCACGGATGCATTACTACCGTTGAGGATTGAGATAAAATGCCTCAAGGCGTGTTATAATACTGGCTCTCTTAATCTCAAACCCAAACACCATGTCTGCATTACTGTTTGCTAGCATCAGAGCACAGAGAGCAAATATGTTCAAATAGGTTAAATGGTGCAAGTAGATAAGCAATGATAGTAGAATAAATAAAGGCCCAGAGGACTTCTAAGCAACTTCTAAGATGAGCATCTGCACCCAACTTCAAACAAAGAGGCTACACGCGTTGAGATTAGTTGCCTTACGTGACGTTGATTACGATATACTAGGAAAGTAACACAGTTGCCACATTATTTTTTGTTATAAATCCTACATAAACATGGGACCTATAATTCCTAGACCAACATAGAACTATTAGTTTTAAATAATATAATATACTCACATTTAATTATAGTATATTCACAGGTATTAGAGTACTGGCTACGAAATTTGGAATCGTCTGGTTATTTGTCGTTGACAGTAGCGAAGCAAACGTTTATATTTATGGTAGGCAGTGCTGTATTGTTTTATTTAATGCGACTCGAGGGAGAGAAGGAAAAGCGAACACCCTTATTTTGGTATGTAAACACGTCATTAGAATTGTTAATACTGGAATGGTTTACGTTGTTGTAATGTGTCATTAACGTGTGGTTTTCATTCAGTAATTGTATTAGAGTGTGTACTGTATTGCTTGTGGTCTGGCTTAGTTACTATTATTAGCATTGATAATTTCGAATACATTGAATAAAATTGGTAGGTATATATCACATACTCATCATATAATTTCTCGTTTTACAAATTATATAAATATAACAGATCTTTTTTAATATAATATATTACGTCATATTTATTTAAAGAAAGAACCAGCAAGAATTTCAACAGGATTATTTTTAAACATAATAATTTAACTATCTAACATAATATTGGAGATGGTATGTCCTCTATCTAGTAATTTTAAACATTAAAGTATTAAGGGAAGACATTGAGAGAGACAATTTTTAAAAACAACTAACAACAGAGTGCATTTTTTAATATCGATAACTAATTAAAAGTATGTTATTGTTATCAGAGAGCCATAAATACCACAGTACGCGGGAAACACGAGTTTTATCCTCGACTGCACTAATAAAATTGTTTATTGCAGTTTTAAGTGCTGATTCATCACGTGCTCGCCTGTGAAAGCAAACATCGTGAAATAACATCCAATAAAAATCTGCGGGTGCCAGCCCGCCTGCTAAGCATGACATCTATGTCAAAATCGCGCTTATAAAGCAATCTATAGGAAAAGCCTAAGTTCAGCTCTGTATTTTTGATAATCTGTAATGAATAAAAAATAACAATGCATTGTAAGCCTTTTTTAAATTTACAGTTGAATGTTTAGGTCTTGGCGGTGTAAGAAAATCCACGACCCCATATCGTTCCGTGGGAGTCGTAAGAGGTGAAAGAGGGAAAGAAACTAGGAGATGGGCATCAGCGTCTTCCTGATAAAAACTCGAAATTATAAAAAACTGCGGTTGCCAAGCCGCTTGACAATCTTGGCAACTATTGCAAAATCCTTTTATGAGGCAATCTACGACAGAGGCCTATGTTAAGCAGTGGACTTTTATAGGCTGTAATGGATTAGGTATTTTAAGAACGCGCATACTCAGGCACGATTGCTTGAATTTCTTGAAATGTGTGGCGGGGTAGGCGCAAAACTTCGATCCTTGCGATGGTAATGTTGTTCTCCATCACTATTCAGTGGAATTTGGGTTCGGTATCAGGCTCTGTGTGCTTAGTTTGGGGAATTATAGTTTGATTTACACCCTTGTTCTGTTATGATGGTTGTGTATTGTATTAAGTAATTATTAAATTCTTTGTCAGATCGTATTAGACATAACATGTCACTAATGCCACCAAAACTTGAGAGACGCTCATTGGACATATTATGTAAGTGTCTTTTACGTTTTGGTATTATATTCACACTTGGCAGACGGGTAGGCGCTTGCGCGTGAGTGTTATTGTACCAATTAATAGAATCAGGCGTTACTTTGCGGAAATCCATTATAATGGGGTTAAACTAATTTGCTTAATTCCGCATAAAGAAAGAAAATGATGTGTCCTGCCCAGTTTTAAGGGGACCTAAGCTTAGCGGCCAGTCTTCGCAGTATCTACTTCACCTGAAGATGCCTCGTGTAGAGGCGAAACACGTGTCGTATTTTCCAGAATGGTGTTTCGTGCCTAGTGTGGTGGTGCTAGGGATGTTAGTGCTGGGATTGACGGCGTCGGGTATAGAGCGCGCGATTGAGGGAGGGTGGAAGGTCCCCTTAAAACTGGGCAAGATACATCATTTTCTTTCTTTACGCGGAATTAAGCAAATTAGTTTATAACAACCCCATTGTTATTGTACCGCCATCTCTCGGTGAGCACAAAACTTCTATTCCCTTATTCGCCACTATATCGATTTGGCATGATTATCTTACGATGCCACCATACGATACTAGGTGCGAATATCAACTGTCCGCCAATATTATGTGTGTTTCCTTATTTTAGGTTATTTACCCCTGAGAAAGTCAAACATAACGCAAACAATTCCAATAATGTTTGCCCACACGATGGACAATGTTGGAAGTATATTTTGAAGGTAAGACACATTTCTCTTTTACAATTGCTTTGAGTTATTACCCGATTTATCTATATTCAACTATTCATTCTTTAGCAGAAATAGATTTCTAAGATTTTTACCTTATTGGAATGTGGTTCTATACTCATCGACCATTAAATATAATCCTTAGAAATAGCCTAGATTGCTTTAAAAAAATCTTTTATATAATTCTTACAATTAAGGCAGAAATTTAGAAAAATAAATAACAAGCAGATGTAAGCCTTTTTTTTAATTTACGGAACCCAGTTCTTGTCGAGCGTTAGGCCGGAGAGGAGGTTATTTTATCATCTATCAACAAACATAATTAACGGGCCACAATATTTATTGAGTTTAAAAAACCCTGCATTTGTATCACCTCTCAACAAACAGACTAGGTACTATTGCATTTAATCGATCATCCCGCTCTTTAAGTTACAACGGCAAAGGCGATCACGCCACCCATTAATTATAAAATCCTTATCCAAATTCGCCAGTCGACGTTGACTTATGGCAACTGTGGGTGAAATATTGGAAGTCTTGAACGCGAAACGTAGATGTGGGGTTCTATAATTACAAATAAAACCCTAACTTCTGGGCGTCTCCGCCGATTTAATAAAATACATAAAAATAAAATGAACCAACAAATGCACAGAGGATATTACAATGAACAATCTTTTAACTATTTAAAGGTCCCTTGAACAGTTTACTTTGAAAAATATTAAAATCTTATTGTAGATCTGAATTTGTCTTTTTTTTTAATTAAAAATGGGCTCACTCTCCAACTGACCCGAGGGCAAAGATGGGATCTACGATGGAGCGAGTTTACCCAAGAGTGACAAAGTAAATGTGACAAAGTAAATGTATATTGCAATTGTGAACGGCAGAGCCGGGAAGGGACGCCCTAGATAAAGGTTTATCGACCAAATTGGCGATATATTGAAAATGAGCCAGATTAGGAGTACCCTAAACCAACGAGCATGTATGTTGATATATGGATGTAATGGAGGCGAGAGAGGTGTGTCATGATCGTGCCAAATGGAAGTCCGTTGTCTCTGCCTAGCCCTCTGGGTGACAGGCGTGAGTTTTTATGTATGTAGTACTTAACACTAAAAATTGTAAACTAGAAAATAATCTCTGTTATTTCATAGTAACCTACATTTACTTCTATTTTCAAGATGATCCTAATATACATCTTAATTTCAGGGATCGTCTACATACTTCGGAGTTGGTCTCGCTATAAGTCTAGCGCGAGCTATTTTGCCAAAGATCAGGTCACCAATCAAAGCATTTTCTTCTTTACGCGGAGCACATCTGAAGTTGGCGCTCTTTTTTGGAAGTTATATCGGTATTTACAGAGTACGATTCATTATTGTATGTTTTAATATTAAAGACCAATAAGAACATTAGTAAACATAATGCTTGTAAAAATAATATATGAACATAAGTTCAAGAAAAAGAAATGAAATGTTATATATCTACGTGATAATGTGAATGCCCCGTTGTTCTATCGGTTAAAATTGCGACTGCTGATCATGTGGTCCCGGATTCAAGTCCCAGGTCGAGCCCAAAAATAGTTTTTAGGGTTTTTCTTTCAAGAAATTCTCAGTCATCTCTCAGCATGTAAAGCTGTGGGTCCTGCGTCTGATCTCTATGTGGTCGTGTCCGATTGCCGTCCTATTAGACTATAAGAGTGAGAGAGGGTAGGGAGTCTATCTGTGACCTGTGCTTACGCACACTTTTGTGCACTATAATCCTGTCCTGCGCAGATATTTAGTCTATGTTGAGAATGGCCACCGTGACCAAAATTTGGTATGGAAAACATTATTTACGTAAGTTTGTATGTATGTATATATGTTTTTTAATAAAACGGAAGTGACACACGATATTACAGTCCACCTGATGGTAAGTGACTATTGCAGTACATGGTCTTTTGCAGCCAACTTTGAAAAAAAGAAGGCTTCATATGCATTATCTAAATGTAATTATAATATTTCTATATACCTTTCAGAACGGAACATAGCATTGTAGCTACTGCTGCGTAAAATAACATACAGCTGACGTTAATTATTTAGAATTTAAACTTAGAAGTTAGAATTTTCTGTCTATCTGTCTGCTTGTTTATGAACATATCACGTCAAAACATTTTTTTCTTCATAATAATCGTTAAGAAAACCAGTCCTTTTACCTTTGTATCCAGTATATAACCAGTATCTTTGAGTAACATTTAGTCTTTGCTTTATTAAAATCGGTTCATTCTACCAAAAGTTATATAGTGTAGATACGAATTTGTTAAATGGTGGTGTTGGCAATTATAAGTACCTTTTAATCTTATCTCTGAAATCATAATTGTTGTGAATGATGTAAAATAACCTTCCATTATGGTTTACATGTAGCAACACATTAATAAAAAAAGAAACGAACGAAGATTACTTAATGTAATATCATCTTAGGTAGAAAAAATACACTAGTTAAAAATGTATAAAAAGGCAGATTGTTTTTTTCATTTCCTGTAGATGTGTCTTCATAATTGCTGCTAAATTTTTATGACGTATAAGCGGAATAAGTAAACTATATTATAATATATTTATTAAAAGTATTGGTGAAGAGCTGGGAAATCAAATATCCCTTTTGTATATAGCGCCTATCTATAACAATAACAAAAAATAATATGTTCTACTTCCATTAAAAATAACCTCAAAATATTTATGAGTTCAACTGCTGGATACGGGCAACTTTTCAGAAGAATTTTTTGGAACAGAGAGGAATTCATCACCGTTGCTCAATAGAGCAATAGCGCGTGGACTCGATTTATTTATTTTCAATTTTTTAAATTTTGGTTCGTTGACTATGTTTACTTTACCACCGAACGGTAAACGGATTGAACATGGATTGAACTTTGATTAGAATTTAATACATACTATGCCGATACTTATATATGATATTTCCTGAACTACCACATCACTTATTCCCTTATTAATCTAAAAATTTAATTATTTACGTATAGTCACTATGCTCGCGACTTTTGAAAACCGGCAATTATGCTCCTGATTTAAAGGTTTTTCAATTAAATGTGTCAATAGTGTAGAAATTAACGTCTTATATTTTTAAGAGCTGGTAGAAATAGCGCCATAAATATTAAAATGAAAATAACATTAATGGCCTACCATAATATCAAATGATACCAACTTACTTGTACACTAAAAAGACAACTTCAGGCGATGATCAGTGACCATAAATAAAAGAAGGAAGAGAGAAAAAAAATTTCGTCAACCCGTTTTTTTTTTTTTTAAGTAATGTAGGATTGAGCACGTTTTATTGACAGGGGTAAGGAGTTCTAAAGTTTTACTTCAAGAATAAAAATATTTATCTTATCATTGGAGGAAAAAGTTTTCCTTGAGCCATAAGGAGAAATTATGACAGAAGCTGAACAATTTAAAACGATCTTTTATATGTCATATTTACGAAGTTCAAACACGACGCCGTAACAAAGCTTTTGTATTGAGAAAATTAACGAAATATATAAAAACCGAAAAGGGTTTCTCGTTTTTATTACTTTTCGAACTTTATTTATGGAAGAAATATGTTACGATGTTGTAATTTATAAATATATTTATTTGTTAAAGAAAATCTTAAAACGTAAGTAGAAAAATACTAAATTTTTAACACGTCTTCTATTTTTCTTTAAAAAATGTCGCTTATAAAATTTTGTTTGTATCGGACAGATTTCAATCTGTAAAAATATTGATAATTGTATATAACTGTTACTGTTATAAGGGAGTCCGTTAAAATTTAATAAGCATTGTTTGCTATTAAAAATTTAAAGGCGCTTTAATATTTTTTTAGCCCTTGATAAACAAGGGACAAAATAAATGTACCATGCACCCTATATCGATTTTATACATTATGTAACCTTTTTTTTCATAAACATTATTAATTATTAAGTCAGGAATATAGTTTATTTTTCTCATCATAAATAAATGAAACGCTCACGTGGCGTGCATTTGTGACTATCCAATCTGTTATTTATATTATATTAAAATATACTAACGGCTGTTACTGTTCAATTATAATAAATTAATCAAACGTGTATACAGATACTCGACTTAAATTAGTTGCTTCTTAAAAAAAAACGTGGTAGAAAGAGATACTGCCACGGGTTATGATGCTGGTGAGGAGGTGCTTATCCCACAAATTTGATTTGACTTTGTATCTAAACCATAATTTACTTTGCATTGACAGTAAATAACGTGACTTGCAGGAGCGGATCTAAAGTTTGGATGGGTTCAGGGACTGAAGAAGACTTTTGTGGCATTACTTAATGATATAGAAATGTCAGAATAATGTATCTATATTTTAGGATATAATATAGCCTAGTTCACTCTTAGCATTGTTCTCTAACTGTTTGTGACATTTCTTTACACTCGTTTCAGCCATTCCGAAGATCAGCACGGACAGAAAAGCAAAGAGACATACAAAAATTTAAAAATAAATATTTATGTTTTAAAACCTCTTAACTTAATATATGTTAGATATTTGGATATTTCAGACAGACACTTTAACTTTATTCATATGTATAGATTACTCAATGAAATTTCTAAAATATCTTTATTACGAGTATTACCGTTTGAGATAGAACAGGATGATATTTGCAGGTAGTTTACGAATTATATAGTCAATTAGGCCCATAGTAATACAAATTCAAATCAAACATATTACCAACAAATATTCTATGCGAATGAAGTCGTGGCCACAGATAGCAATTATTAATTTTAAATCCAAATCCAAGCATACTACTGCAAGTTGTTAAGATACTATGCTTGTTCTGCGTTCATTGAAAAGTGTTTAAAAACGAAAGGGCCACCTTTTAGCCTTTAAATGGTCCGTCCGTTAAAACGTCCAACAACTTAGTTGCACGCGTAACCATGGGTGCGATAAAAAATCCAATACTATGGGGTGGTCTCATAAGTTTCCGACCTCAACGTGAAAATGGCGGCACTCGTCAATAAAAGCTAATGAATGTAGTTGTGTATCTTTTAGCAATTACCGGTCAAAATTTCAGTCATTTTGGACGCGTATTTATTATTTTACAGTCGTTTTGAGTGAGTCGATGTGAGTGTTTTTGTGAAAATGGAAAAAAAATGAGTATCAAGCTGTCATTAAATTTTGGGTTTTGATAGGCAACACGCCTACACAAATTAAATATGAGTTGGATTCATTTACCACAATGAAATTTTGGCCAGATAAATTTAAACGTGGCCTTAAGAGCTTGGGAGAAGATAAACATTCGGGACCTCGAAAATTTTCAACTACTGACAATAACATCGCTAAAGTTCACCAAATGGTGCTACACGGCAGCCAAATTAAATTGAGAGAGATAGCAGAGGCTATGAAAATGTCCAAAAATGTTTTTGTCACATATAAAATAAAGATTTAGGCATGAGAAAGCTGTCAAAGTGTTGAGTGCTGCGTTTGCTCATGTTAGACCAAAAACGTGTTCGAATGACCATTTCCAACGCTCTGTTGGCATAACTTAGGTGCAATAAATCTGAATTTTGGTGCTGACTAATTACTGTAGAAACTTGGAAAAATCATTATACGCCCGAAACAAAAATACAGTCAAAACAGTGGACTGCAAAATGGGAACCGGGTCCAAAAAGAGCAAAAATTGTTTTTTCGGCTGGGAAAGTGATGGCGACTGTTTTTTGGTATAGTCATCTAAAAATTGCGCTCGGAGGAAAGAGATTTTCGTCAAATGAGTAGGCATGAAGAATTATTCCGCAGAGAAAAACGCCGAGATTTGGACGGATTTAGAGAGATGGGAGCATCCCTGGGAGAAGTGTGTAGAGTTACAAGGAGACTATGTAGAAAAATAAAAATAAATTTTAAGAAAAAATGTCTTGTATTTTTGTTAGATCGGAAAATTTTCAGACCACCCACGTATTAAATATTGAAATTTCCGACATTTCAGATTTTATAAAGCTTAAATATATAATATTTAAGAAATCATAATGAAATATTTTATTGACACGTAACACTTATTTTACATATAAAAACATTCATGAAAAATAATCTTTCAATAAAAATATAAAAGCCGACCTGAAAGAACTATAAAGAATGAAATAAATTTCTGAATGCAGAAGTCGGTGCTAACTTAAAGTGTAATAATCATGTACCCCAGACCAAATTTGGGTTACGGTGGCCATCCTCATCGCAAACTAACCACTGGCGCAGGACAGGATTATAGTGCTCAAGTATATGCGCAAGCACAGGTACACTCCTTATTCGCGTACTCTCACAGTTTGGTGGAACGGTAAACGGACACGACCAAAGAGAGGTTAGGTGCAGGACCAGGCTGTACGTAATTTCATGATCAGCAGTCGCGTTCACAAATGATAGACCAACGATGCTGTGAGGGAGGCAACTTAAGTGTATAGTATAATTAAAGCCCCTGACCTCAGAATGTGAAATGATTTCCTTTTCATCCTTTTAGTTCTTTGAAGACTGCATTTACTATTGCTTTTTACGCTTTTAAGCATAAGAAATATCACAAAATTAATTATGTTTAGTGGATATTTTGTATGGCCCTATTCACCTTTTGGCCCTTTTTGTAAAGCCAGCTTAAAGTCAACAACAAACATCGTGAATAGTTTTATCCCCCAGACAACTAACTTTACTTTTGTTTTAAAGAATTTTTATTGATAATGATTAGCATAAGCAATATTTTCAATTCTTGTTTCAGTCTGTGATATGCTACCTGTGCCGGAAACGAGGATATGATTCGGCTCTATATGCGTTGCCAGCAGGATACCTTGCTGGGTTGTCTTTACTATTTAAACCAAACTTAGGATTTGCCACAGCATCTTTGACAGGCGCTTTCAAGGTAAGTTTTGCTACGCAATTCGATATAGTAAATCGTATATTCAATACGATTTAGTAAATTTACAGATATGAAGAACTCTCAGGTTAAAATACATTGACAGCGTCTATCACTTGTCGATTTTATAGCAATAGTGAATAGAAGTTTTTAAGTGGTATGAATCTAATTATTTATAAAAGGAGTATACAGTAGGAGAGTCCACTGCGTTTCCCCAATACGTGTTGATGGATCTTAAATTTAATGTTCTAGAAAAAAAAAACATTTTAATTTCTTAAACATTTATTCGTAATTTTCATCACGATATTTTGCTTCAACGTTGATTGGATTTAATTAAAATATTGCTTTACAGCTATACGCTACAATTCTTTATGAGAAGAAAATAATACCAGAAAATCTGCCGTTGCCGATTCTACTGTATTGTTTCTGTCAAGGAATGTTATTTCACGCTAGGTTTCTGCATCCTCACACGTGTCCGAGCTACATGTTTAGGCTTATTAACACTGTCTCTAATGGAAGGTATGTTGAAATATTTTTTTCTAATATCATTATAATTTATTCATATTTTATACTAAAAATAATCAAAATTATGAGATTTATTTTAAAAAAATCATTTAATGTCAATACTATCATTTTACGATAAGAACAGAACTATCAAACTATCATTTACTATAGATTACCTCATAGGGAGATATTTGCCTCAGTTGGCAAGTAAATTTGCAATCGCAGGTTTTTTTTTCAGATGTTATCAGGAAGGCGCTGCTGCCCATCACCTGTTTTATTTTTTACTTTAACCACGGTTTATTTCTCTTTGTCGCCTTTGACGGCACTCACGAGACGATAGTGATACTTTTCATAACTTTATTGAATTATATTGAACTTCAAATACATTTTGTAACTATGCATCTTCATTTCAATAGTTATCAATTTTTGATATAACCATGTTAAGTTTTATATTTTTCTAACACACTTTTATTTTTGTAGTTTTCAAAGCACAAGCAACGTAATTGACCACTTTAATTTTTTTTTTCAGCTCGGAGTATTTATATTCGAACCTATTGAAAGTTGTCAAGAGCACGATTTAAATTTGTTGATATTCTCACAATTTGAACTATAGTCTCAATTTTGTATTAGAGAGAAGAAATTATTATATTTAAAGTACATTTGGGTTTTACATCTCTGTCAGCCCGTAAAATTTCAATGTTGGACGTGGAGCTCTTTGCAAGTGGACATTTTGCACATTTAAATCTAATTTTAGTCAGTAGGCTAGTTATTTTACGTCTGGCGTAATCATCATGGACTACTATTTGCCTTGTGATGAATACGTAAGAAAATCCAACCCTGAATTTGGCCAGTGGGTGTCAGTCAGTCGGAAAAAAGTCAGACCGGCGGCGGACAGTAGCTGGCACTGCGATTGTAAGTCAGCCTGCCGATCGTGATCTTTATAGCTAATCCTCCCTACATCAGTAGAGGCTCATGTCCAGGAATATTTTAGTCTGATAAAGATGAAGGAGCAGGAGATACAATTATCTATTAGAACACATGATTTCTTTATGGAATCTTCCTATGTTAAATCATAAAAAACCCACGGGACATAACGGGCTGATGAATTTTTAAGCCCGTCGCTATACAGTACGAAAAATGGGTTTTAAGGCTATATTTATTTGAAAGGTGAGGGTTGCAATAACTATTTAATATTTGTGATGTTTTGTAAATATTTTTTTAATTATTAAATTATGATTAATATTTAAATACATACAGTCTTTTATTTTAAGTTCCATTTTTTTTATATTATAAATATTTTACTTCTTGGACATGCAGTTTTCCCTGAACCAACTAATTTCCTTACTGAATTATCCATCTTCATAGGTTTCTCTCATAGATTGCATAAAGGAGAGATATTTGCTATACCTGCCACGCTTGGCAGGGTTGGTAACCCCAGTTTTTATTATTATTTTGAGTTACTTTCAGAAAGATACTGCTGGAGATGAGTTATCTCCTGTTTCAGATTCCTTCTCCACCCCACGAGATATGACGTAGTGTTTTTTTACACTGCCACTACACGACGGAATTATATTGCAAAGTCCATCCAAAATTTTGAATTGCTGAATTTTATTTCTAAAAAGGTTTTAGTACAAATTAACAATCAAAATCAATTTAGTTTTCCAACCAGCGTACATAAATTGATGTAACTAAATTTATTTAAACTACACATAAAATATATATTCGATCATTATGACGTTCGATTCGCATTCAAGGGATTGACAATTAATACTTTTTTTAAATTTCCTCTTGATTCTGATGCCTTCTTAATATATCCATTGCCGAACCGACATATTGAATCGCACTGAAAATAGGTAATTAATATTCATTTATTCATTCATTACCGACTGCCATAGACTACTTCATATTTGCCATAGTTGCCACGCTTAGCAGGCAGGTTGGCAACCACAGATTTCATATTATTTTCTAGTTGTTATTAATAAGATGCTGCTGCCAATCATCTGGTATTTCCCTCTGTCGCCTGACGATATGTGGCAGTGGAATTTCTAACACCACCACTATATGGTCATGATAACTATTGTGAGTAGGGATAATCAAGCAACATAAAATTTGTTAATGTCATTTAGTAACGAAATTAAGTTTATATTAACTTAATGATTTCTTATATTTACGCGAAGACTACACATTAAATGAAACTAATTTTTACGGATTTTATCGCGTTTAATTTAACTTTTTAATTCCCGACGTTTTGGGTGCTTTACAGTGCCTGTGGTCACGGGGGGACTGAGGTGTTTGACATCCCGATGTCATAGTTAGCTCGGCTAACTTCAGTTTTTGAATATTAATTTTTGGTCCCATCTACGCAGAATGAGCTAACAGTATCTTGAAGTCTTGCAGTGGTATGCTTGTAACTTTTTATGTATTTACCAATTAAAGATATGAAATGAGTAAAACTTAAGACTTGCCACTTGTCTTCTCGGAATACGACATTTGCTGCCAAATTACATACTTTACGTTTTAGTCCGCATGTTTCCCCGGAACTATTTTCGCGAAAGGGATTATAGTTTAATTTTTAATCAGAGACTAATTATGAACTAGTTTTTGTTACTAGACGGATAAAGAATAACTTACTTGTTCTATGTTGTAAAAGTTATTTTTATTTCCACCACAACCGGAGTATATAGTTTCCTTGCAAACCTTCCAACGGGCGTCGTAGTACCACCGTTTTATAGCGCCGAAGCAAAAACCATAATCAAAGGAAAGAAAACACCACTTTGGTCGCATCCCTATAGAATAAGCTATATTAGATTTTTAGAATCGTAAATCTTTTTTTATTTAAAAAACAACTATGGGTAATGCTTCCTGTGGATGGCGATTTGAATATCTCGTTTACGGCAGACGTAAAATATCCTGACCAGAGAGAGAAAGCAGCGTCAAAGTTGCGAAACTTCTGATACGATCAACAATTTGACTATCAAGCGTGGCGATTATAACAAATTTTACCTAATAGAGAAGGTCCATGTTCAGTAGCGAACTTCAATGGGCATACAAATAATAACAAGTACAATAAAGTGCATAATACACAAATATCTATGCGTGGTACAGCCACGCGGCGGCTATATTGTGGTTGGATCACGAATGGGTCGGCTCGACAGGGGTAGGACCACGCTCTCATACCAGCGTAAAATAGCAGATTAATGCTACTGTGTTTCGTGGGGTAAGTGTAGAGAACCGGATAACCTTTTTACTGGAAACGAGGCATTCTATCTTAGTCCTCACAGGTGACGACGCATTTGCATTTTGATTCTTTATTGAGGATATATGTAGATGTCTATAACCACACTAAACCACAGCATCCATTTACCAAAATTGTGAAATTTGGTGACTGTTATTAGTCCTGACAACTCCACTGAGCATTCCCCGTAGTAGATGGAATCGAATATGCAAAGCAATGCAACACTGTGTTTAAAATCTGTTGCATTCATTTCAGCCCATCAGTAATGATCACCGAAATTATTATATTGTGTTAGAGGGGGGAGGAAATGATTCAACAAATATTCTAACAAACTGCTGCTTAGTAGTATAAACAGGTAACAGTATGTTACGTCCCCAAATGGATTCTTAAACAGAAAAGAAGGCCAAAATCACCTTCATTGTTAATTAAAAAAATACCTAGTATGAGGTAGAACATATTAACTCAAAATTCTATAAAGACTTACGACGTGCATTCGGTTTACTTAGACATGATTCTAGGCATTGTTCGTGAGTATCAAATCTATTTCCATTGCCCTGACATCCACCCCAGCTAAAATGAAGGCAGTCTTGTTTTTCAGGCTTATAATAATACATAGGAATATTCCCTCGGCACGGACCACTTTCTGGCTTAAGGAGACATGTCTTGTCAATCACTGAAATAAAAATTTGATTTGAATAGAGTATACACCTTTGAAACCATAATCAGTATCAACACTACATCTTCAGCTTCTTAAGTACACAGCTGGGCATATGTGTCCCTAGAATTTTAGGTTTTAGGCTGTAAAGCACCCCTGCAGTTATATTATGGTTGCAGTATGATTGGGTGTGCTTGAACCAGCAAGGAACAAGTCCTAAAATAGCAGCGTAAAATAGATCATTAACGCCGCTGTGTTTCGTGCGGTGAGTGTAGAGAACTGGAGACCCTTTTCACTAATAAGATGGAATTCCAGAGAGGAGAACGCATCCACATTTCGATTTTTCTGTATTCATGTATCCACAGATGTAGACTTCATACATAACTGCAGTCTAATATCATCAGGTGGACTGCGAAATTCTATGTTGACCACTACATGGAAAACAACTTACTTTACTAACTTGAAGTTTTATCACACTATAGAAATGAAGGTGACAACGAGCAAATAGTCTACTTGATGGTAAGTTGATGTTGTTACCCATATTATAGCACAGTTACGTATTTTCTCGATTGAGAATAAAAATATAGATACATAGCTCGTGCGTAGCTATACATTGTATAGCCACGCTATACTATGATTATAGCACGAATGGGTCATCTTGACCGGAAAAAGACTACACTCTCACAGAATATCATTATAAAATAGCAGCTTAATATTGCTGTGATGGTGAGTGTAGAGAACCGGAGACCCATTTTACTGGAAACGAGGCATTCCATCTTAGTCCTCAGGGTTGATAACGCATCCTTTTAGGCCACAGCATCCACTTACCACTACTTAGATGTAATCTGTGCTCGTTTTTTACCGCCTCTAAGGACGAAGTTACCAGCTGGAAGTGTTTCACGATAGCAGCCAAAACAAGTCAAAAGGCTAGATCTGCTCTCGATATTCATATGACTGCTAGTGTAGTTTTCCATTAGGTTCCTGTAGCTGGTCGTAATTGAACGTTCCTTATTTAATAGCATATATTGAATACCTCTTGGGCTATAGGGAGTAACTCTTGTTGGAATTTCCTTATATGTGTTAAAATATACTGAAAACACAGGGTTATTTGTTTGAGACAATAAAAAAATGGTCAGCCACATATTTGAAAATCTAGCTTTATACTATGTAAATATTGTATATACTTCGAAATATCAACAAAATACCTATAAAATCTACCTATAATAAAAAAAATTCTTATCGAACATATTGATGGAGTAGCCTATTGAAGTTTTGTGGTCCACCTTATTCATCATTCTGGTTATGTTTACAATAAAACAAACGGATATAAAAGAGAAATACCAAATAGTTCTGCTCAATTAAAATCAAAACATTAAATTCGAAAAAAAAAAAACTAATAGTAGTCACTCACGAAGTTATACCGTTCATTTATTAATACCAAAATAAAAAGCTATAACTAATGAATATATATGAATATATATGGACCCAGTAGGTGCAGTTGTTGTCGACATCCAGAAATCACCCGTGCGAAGCCTAAATACTGTCCTGATACGGAAGAAGGGGGCTAAGCCACAAAATTATGTTTCGAAAAAAATTAAAAAACGCGAAATTGGTTTTCTTGATAGATATAACTGAGAAAAAAGTTTCAACTATTGGAATATAATATAATATAACTAATGAAAGACTGACGTCTATTTCATTCTATAGATAAAGACATTTTATCGAACAAAAATTGATTGACTCTCAGGTTGTTCCATAAATCGGTAAGATATAAAAGCGTAGATTGATATAATTTTATTTAATATATAATATTTATTTATTTGATAAGTTTGTGAAAAGATAATATACGTGGTACAGCCATGCTACAGCTATGTCAATGGGTCACGAATGGGTCCGCTCGACCTGGGAAGGACCAATCTCTCACAGAATACCAGCATAAAATAGCAGCTTAACGCTGCTGTGTTTCGTTTGGTGAGTGTAAAGAACCGGAGACCCTTTTTTACCGGAAAAGAGGCATTCCATCTTAGTGCTCACGGCTGACAACGCATCAGCATTTTATTCGCAAACGAGGATAGATGTAGATGTATATGTGCCACAGCAACAACTTACCATCAGGTGGACTGTATGGTGGCTTGTCACCCTTATCCTATAAAAAAAATTGGAACGAAGTTCCTTATCGGACGGTACGGATTTGGCGGTTGGGGAACCTTTCTAGTGTTTTGTTTTAAATGACGCTTAATTTTCTGCCGACTTCCAAAAAGGAGACGGTACTCAATTCGACGCGTATATTTTTTACCTCATAACTTTTTACTGGGTGAACCGATTTCGATGATTCTTTTTTTATATGAAAGCTGATACTTCTCTGTGGTCCCATATGAATTTGATCAAGGTCAGACCAATAGTTTTTGAGTTATTCTTAATAACTTATATTGAAGTCGGCTATACAAAATTTTTAATTTTTAATTTTTATAGTCGCTAGTAAATCTATTTATTTGTATTTGTTAATCAATAATATAATATGTTTATAATAATAATATACTACGAAAAGAACTTCGTTCCAACCGAGTGTTCCACGACACTCACGCATGTTTTTTTATAGTTCTTTTTAAAATTTACAAATTAAAAGTTATACTTACCATTTTTAAAGTACACAGAGGAGACCGAGATAATAGGAACCACTTTAAACTGTACTAGCTACGCCCCGCAGTTTCACTCGCCGTCCGCACGAAATCAGACCTCGCTTATTTTTAGATTCTCATCGGGTGGCTACGCGTCGTGCGCGCACAGAGACTAGTGTTGAATTATTGTAATTTCTTTCTATCTATTAATATATGCCTTCAAATAACATGCAATAAACAATAAAATTTATCTTCATAAAATTGTCTTCATAATGAAGTACATAACTTTCGTTCGTAAGGATTAATATATCATGCCTAATAATAACGCTCAAAAATCACTTTTTGATCTTCAATATTATTTTGTCACAAAATACCTTCATTGTGGCTTAAGTATAAAAAATAGGCCTATGGTATCGCGGACGTTTTTTTTAGATGGAGGAAAGATCTATATTTTTGTCTGTTAAACATTGTATTTACGTATCACTAGACATTACGCCAGCGCACGCGATAAATCAGTTATTGAGCGCCTTTAACTTTTGAGGTGTAGCCTAAAGCTGGATAGCTTATACAATTTCTCATGAATATGGCTAGCTTATAGTTTTTACAACTGGATTTATCTGAAAAAAAGTTGATGGGTAAAGTATAATAAAAAAGTAAAAATATATGAAATTCTTTGCATTTCTTAAGACAAAATGAATTAAATGTATTCACCTCGCAAGAAATCCAAATACAAGTTGGTGCTTGGGGCACATCTCCAGTTAGTCGAAAAACACATTGTGTTGTAATAATACTGCACTATTTGGAGTGTATGCTTTCGTACATAATAACTTGAAAAGACACCGTCATGTTATTACAAAACAACAGAACGACTAAATTAACTAACTAATAGACAAAGAGAATATTATCACTACGTTTACTAATAGATAGTAATGTTGTTTTATGTCTCCTTTCATTATATATTTTTTTAATAATCGATTAACTGATTTCTAGATTCAATAATGGTAGAATCCGAAAACTAAATAAAAATAAATAAAACACTTATTTTATATTTATTTACTTATTTTAGGCACTCCCCTTGCTACTTCAGCTAGCATCGGAATCTTTGGCGTTGACATATATGAATAGTGTGCAGTTTCGTGGTCACTTGGAAGGGAAGGTCAAACTGGCCTCTAAAAAGCTTGGCGTGCTCAGCAGAGCGAGACAGTATTTCATTACTTGCAACTTTACAAAACGCAAATCCGGCCTCACATGGAATACTGTTCTCATCTCTGGGCCGGGGCACCCCAGTACCAGCTTCGTCCACTTGACCGCATTCAGCACAGAGCGGTTCGAATCGTCGACGACGGAGTTCTTTCAGATCGGCTCGATACACTGGCACTGCGTAGAGATGTTGCATCTCTTTGCGTATTTTATCGCATTTACCACGGGGAGTGTTCTGAGGAATTGTTCGGACTAATTCCAGCCGCTCAATTTCACCATCGCACATTGCGACAAAAGTTGCGATACCATCCATACCACCTGGATGATTGACAATCCACCACTGTGCGATTTAGAAGATGTTTTCTTCCTCGCACAACTTCCTTGTGGAATCGCTTACCACCAGCGATTTTTCCGGACCGATACGACTTAGGGACCTTAAAGAAAAGAGCCTATTCCTTTTTAAAAGGCCGGCAACGCATCTGCAATTCCCCTGGTGTTGCGTTTGTTCATGGGTGGCGGTAGTCATTTACCATCAGGTGAGATATTAAAAAAAATTAAAATAAAATAAATTTTGTTTCGTTTTAAAAAGTACCTACATGCCTTAAAACTAGTAGATTGGAACCTCCATTTAAGAACTGGAGGGTCCGCCTTTCCATTACTACATCATGTTACAAGCAGTATGGGTGAATATATTCTATATCCATATTTATGTTATATATTATATAAATTCTAAAATTAGGACAATCTATTGATTAGAACTAATCTACTTATAAATACTTTAGAGTATGTGAGTGAAAGTTTATTTAATTGTATGGGTGTTTGTGTGTTTGTGTCTATGCTTGGGTGAGTTAAAAAGAGTGTGTGTGATTACAGTGTTTGAATCTAAACAAATCATGCAACACGATCCAGTAGCTTCTCAGTTTTGTCATATGTCTTATGATGAATCAATTTTAACAAAAGTTTTTTACAGTTGTGATATGTTTTGTCGTATATGTGTATATGTGTATATCTTTGTTTATTTTATTACAAAGAAAGGCAGAACGCGATATAAATTGTCTGTTTACAAATGTGGTTTTAGTTCTGTACGTTTAGACAACAATGTTTCTATGTCGTTTATTTAAATGGTATGGATCATAAGATAATGATTTGTGAGTTTTGAGAGTTGTCCTGAATATATACAACTTCCTGACAGAGAGTAAGCTGCTGATACGATATAGACGATCGGTGGGAAAGCGTCTCTTCTTAAAGTACATAACTTTAATAAGAGAACGCTACGCCCTCTCTAACTCCAGCAATCGAGTTTTTGCTGCACCACCTCAGATAGGAATACAGTAGGCCAAGACGGATTGAGCAAGAGCAAAGTATAATTGATTGGGGAGATAATTTGGTGCGTCCTCATCCGATTTACACAGCATTACATTTCTGAGGGTTTTGTAGATCCATATTAGTTTCCTCATTCTATTGATAACATGATCATGGTACCTACGTACCATGATAGTCTTTGACCTACAATTATCCACAGATATTTTTTCTGAGCTACCTTATCGATCATAGGGCAGTTACAGGTGTTTTTATAAATTTCCATTTTACATTCATGAATTTTTAGACTGAAGTCAGCCTGAGGTTGCGAGTTGTTGGTGAGTAGAGTTGAGAAGAGAAAGAGGATAGGTCCTAAAACGCCGTCCGGTGCCGCGCCACACGTCTAATCAGCAGTTTCACTAGTGCAACCAGGTAGTCTTACTCCTTGTCTCCTGTCCGTTAAGTAACTCTCAAAAAGAGCAAACGGAGTCTCCCTTACTCCCATATCTTCAAGTTTATGCACAATTTTTTAATATTTATTAAAAGAAAAGCAAATTTAGGTGGATAAGTACCTTGTTTTGTTTTATCCTTGGAAAAGATCTATGTTCAGTAGTTGTCTTGAGATGGCCTGTAATAAAAATAGTGATACCGATGATTGTGACTAATAGTAAAAACTAGATGAACGAATTACTGGTTTTGAAATTTCTAGTAGTCATTTTCAAAAATAATGATATACATAAAACGGTGTTGCAAGTTTGGAAAATTTTTATAACATATTATTGATACATAATGTCCAGGATATTCAGGTGGACTAAATGATCCATCAGGTATAATGAGAGTAGCATTTTTAGCAACATTAAAAACTGCTTGTTATAAATACAAAGTCGTGAACATTTCGCTACTAGTTTTTTATTAATTAGCTTGTACAATAAATGGATTTATAAATGTAAGTGTATAAATGAATTTTTAGTTATGCGAAAGTTTAAATATGTAAATTTTTTTGAAGTAAAAGAGTTTCAATTTTTTTATAGAATAAAGGTGACAAACAAGTACACATTCCACCTGATGGTAAGTGGATGCTGTGGTTCATAGACATCTACATACACATACCGCGTGTTTGTGAAACGCTTCCGGAAAAGAAGACAGACGATAGTACTAACAATACCTTTGATATGGGTCAGAAAGAAAATCAAAGAAAAGTAAAAAACTCTTTTCACAACGTTTTATTATCTTTAATTAAGCTACATCGTGTTAGTAAAGCTAAATTAAACGATCATTTCATTAAAAAAAATCATGAAAATACTTAAACATAAAACCAGCAGTGTAATATAAAATCAGCTGACTAGGATCAATATACGCAAAGATGCCAATTTCGCGCGGCCAGCAACTAGCAATCGTACCGATACCTAATAATTTTGAAAAAAAAAAACACTTGTCTAAATACCTAACTTATCTACTTAACCTATTATTTTGCCACTGTGCTTGTCTCCACCTAGCCACTTTAATTCGAATTCACAGGTTAAACAAACCAAACACCTGGTCCGATTCCCGGTATATCCTCGATTGAGGTTAAAAATGCAGATGCTTTGTAACCCCCGAGGACTAAGATATTAGCTACTATTTCAAGCAGGTATTCTATGAGAGCGTGGTCCTACCCCGGTCGAGCCGACCCATCAATGCTACAACCACAATATAGCTTCAGCGTGGCTTTACCACGTATAAAAAAAAGTTAAATAGAATTATTTGTAATCATCATAGAATATACCCAAATAATATTTATTATTTTATATTTTTAACTCACATAATCTTTTACATGGTTCTTTACTCTATATACTCGTATTGTGAGTTTATATAAAAAAATGAAATATCATCATTTATCATTCCTTCCCACTTATCAAATGTCCACTATTGAACATAGCCCCCTCCATAGATTGCCTTTTAAGGGGATTTTGACACAGTTGCCACGCGGCAGGTGGGTTGGCAACTGTAATTATTTTATCATTTTCGGTTGTTATCACAAAAATGCGGCTTCCTCTTCCTCGTTTAATTTCCTCCTCTAAATTTGTCAACATACGGGATACGGAGTAGTAAATTTTACACAGCAAAAAAAAATCAAGAATGACAAGTGCACAAACAAATGAATTGACATGATTCTTTTGCATAGAATTACCTTTATTATATTGTACCATACAAGGGCGGGAAAGTGACATAGGTTACTTTTTATTCCGGGAAAAATGCGCGGTTATTTTAGGACAGATGTGGAGCGTAATTCTATTATTAAATGTAAGAAAGCAAGCGAGATTAAGCCTATCGATTCATCATTGAGTTCCAGCTTCAATATTTAATAGCATTTAGTTTAACCTGACTCTATTACGTTGTGTGTAAGGTAAGTAAGTAAGATACAAAATAAAAGTTAAATAGAGTCTTGTAATAAATACTTAATTTTATTTTATGTCAATAAATTAAACCTTAATCAAAAATCTTAAATTTGATTAACACATTTCTTTCTTGATTTTCTTATTGTTAATAGCGAGCTATAATACCTTTAGTAACTAAAGGTTATTCTGCTGTGGACTGCGGTCTAGTATAGAACTAAGAAGAAGCGTGATGTTTACACTGGTTACACTGCGCACACTGCGGGTCCCCTGGGACCGTGTGCTTCCCTAGCCTTTTCGAAATGTCAAAAGTAATCAAATTTCCTGTATCCGTTTCTAGGCTTAGAAGAGATACAAAATAAAGAGTTGACTGCTTCAAAGTTACATAAATGGGCGAAGAACAAGAAAGGACGATTGGGAGGGTGGTAATTCTTTTCTGGATTCTTAATTAACTATTTTGACAATTTAATCGCTTTAAGAGCAATATGCTCGTAATAGCGAACAATTTAAAAACAAATTTTTACAACGGAGTGAGATTTTGTTATTCTTAATAAATATAACTCACAGAATCGACAACTTATGGGAAAGAAATGCTCTCAAGCCTAGTACCTTTAAGTTCGCAGGTACTTATTTAGTGTAGGTACTTTAGTGTAGGACAGCCCCCACTAGATAAAGTGACAACCTGCCAAGATATGCAAGAAGTCGATGAATGCAAGTGGCTTAAGACCTTGCCTTTTCCTTAGGAAGGTTAATGTTTCGCAGCAGAGTTGTGTTTGGCTGTTGTTATAATAATGACAAATATGATTTAAGATGAAACATAGCTATAAATCCATTCTATATACGGGCTAATTGGTAAAGCAATACCAGCAATATTCGTAGAAGTTTTCGGTATTTGATCTAAGCAATCAGCTGTTCTCTCTCCTAAAAACAAGATTCCTGCTATACCCGACGAATGAATTAGAGGACCACCAGAATCTCCTCTGCACACTGTAACTTGATGGCCACATCTTTTTGCTAAGCAATATGAACTGGTAAAGTAGTACTCTGGGCATTTATAAATTAATACTTTTAAAACTTGTAGTGGTTTTTTAAGTGCGAGAGTGTCGTTTCTTTCGATTTTACCTCCTGAAAGAGTCACATTTGTTATGCCAAAACCGGCTATAACGGCTTCATGCCCAAGTATTGATAAATAATCCACAGCACTAATTTTCATATAATTTTCAATACTCATGGGTGTTACTTGTATAAGACCTATGTCGTTCTCATGTTTTCTGTATAATGGATGCTTAATAGCTTGCAATACATCGCTAAAGGAATGATTTGTCCGTTGTGGGTCGAATCCTTTTCCGTATCTTATGACAACTTTCAAATTAAAACTTAGGAGCGGAAAAAGCAAGCAATGTGCCGCAGTTAGTACCCATCTTGACGAAAGAGCAGATCCTGTGCAGAGATGATAATGTTCAGCGATAATAGTATTATTTGTAGAAATAGTCCTGATTTTTACTTCTATACGGACAACGTACGGATACTTTTCTGAATTAGCGTCATTTCCACCAATGATTCTTAAGGACTCCTTCAAAATATTCGAACACTCAGTTATTGAGAATATTGTACAAAATTGCAACACGATAAGTTGTACGAATGTAACAGTAAAATACATAGCTGTGAAATGCTATAAAATATTAGTAGTTTTTACAAGCATTATATTGTTTTATGAGAAATAATACTGGATTTTACCATAGTGTGCATTCGATTTAAATATCGAATTAAATCATATTTCTAACCAATATTTCTACTGATCAGAAAATCTACTGCGACTCCCGTTTAAATTGGGTACGAAGGCAATATAATACATTGATGAAGTCAGATTCCGAATTAAGAAGAACGCCAGAGCCGATATCGAGATTTAAGCTAGCTGCACTAGAATTTATATCGGACTGGAGCGTCAGGACCATCTATACTTCCCATATGGTTACTATAATGGGAAAGCTTAAATACTTGAGAATCTGGGGAATGTTGCGGTTAAAAACTATGTCGAAATCGACTAAAGTCTTGAGTGCCCTCTTAGGCTCGAGACAACTCTCCATTGAATATGCTAAGGATATTGAAGAGAGGGCAGCCAAGAGATTTGGAAGGATGGTGAAAGTCTCGAGATCCTTTTGGGACATCCAGTACCCATCTTTCCGCCTATTGTAGATAGAAAAGTTCGTATTGACATAATATATGCAACGTCGCACTGGAATGAGCGAATCTCGACACTTCATGTGTACCGCTCTTTTATGGACACAGCACAGTTTACTGATCTTACTGAATGAGGGATACAGTTCGGGTAGCACGCTAGCATTTCCTGTTATAGCTGTAGTTTATCCGTCTGGCCTGGTTCTGGTTGGTGCATTCTAGCTGAGCAGATATAGCACGTAGTAATTAGACCAAGTGGGATTTGAGCAGATGCAAACGAGATATACGATTATATACAATTTATATTATATAATATCATATATATATTGACTATATTTACACTATTGTGTCCATATTTTGTTATTTTTCTTTTTGATGATGCTAAACGAACATATATTGTAAATGAGAGATTGTGATTTTTATTTTTATTATATACCTACTAAACAAACTAATAAACAGAGATAAGCCACCAAGGCAAGGCAATAAACAGCTTTCAACCTTTTTTTTTGTAATAAATCCAGTTCTTTCAGGTTTCAAGTTTATTAAGAGTAGCATATCTGTTCTTTTACTTTTATTATTTAATTTAATGTTGCTTTTTATTGATGCTTTTGATTTGAGTTGTAAATAATTTTTGATTCTGATGATTTCTTTGAGAAACTGTGGATTTGCATATCTAGAAAATAAAACGCTTAAGTGTTGTTTTTTTTTGGAACAAAGTTCTGTATCACACAGTACAAATTTGATGGATGGGGGCTGGGCGACAAAAAGTGTAAGATTTTCCGTCAAGACCCCCTTTCTATAGTGCGTGCAAGATGGAGTAATATCCATTTCCTTCGCACTTTTTCTAATCTCCTTCGCACTTTTTCTAATCTTGCCTTGAAAGAAATATTATTTAAATGACCCTTCATTTTAATAGACGCTAGTAATTCATTTATTTGAATTTATGTTAATCAATAATATAATACGCTTATCAATAATTATATACTACGAAAGGAACTTAGTTCCAACCGAGTGTTCCACGTCAGTAACGCATGTTTTTATTTAATTTATTAGTGATATACATTTTTAATAATGTGTTTTTAAGCATACTCTATACAAAAGATATCATATTTTTGATAGTTTCAGTTGAGTGAGGAATGCTCACGGGATGAATTAAGAATATTGAAACAAGAAATCGTATGTTGAGTAAGGCATATACATAGTTGCAAAGGCAAATAAATTGGTGAGTTCATTGCAGTCAAATATGTTATGGCAGATATTGTAAAGCAAAGTTTGAATCAAGAGAATTGTTCTTAATTATAAAGATAAAATACTAAATTTTCTTAATAAAAGTTCGTAACATTCATCAGAATTACATTTAAAGCGTTTGTTCATGGCTCATTTTAAAAACATTCGTTGAACAAGCTCCAACTGTAAACTATACTTACTTTAATATTTTGAAACCCATACGTATAAAGGATGCATATTCTACATGTTATCTTATTAGAGGTTTGTATAGTGTTAAAAATGTGGTGAGATGTTTGTAGAAAAAACGTGTCCGCATGACAAATCCATAAAGCTTAAAGGCTTTATTGGTTATGTGCGTTACGTGGTCAAGAGTAGCTTACAGTCTAAATACAATCCTAGATCACTAATTAAATATGATGACTTCAAAGAAAAGAGTTTACTTATAATATCAATTTTATGTCATTTATAGTATGCTAATAATATTTAATTAAGACTATTTTTAAGGATTTTATAGCGTTTTTTACTACTTATTTCTAATTTCCGAAGTTTTTTCCCGACGAGATTACGACACATCTTCTCGTCAGACATACCTCAAAACCTCAAAACTAGATTGTACAACTTGTGCGTGTTGCCAGTAATGACCTATTATAGATCTGAAACGTGGTCCTTCACTGCTGGCCATATTGGGAAGCTCAAAGTCGCTCAGCGAGCTATAGAAAGTGCTATGCTCGGCGTTTCTATGCGTGATAGACTTAAAAACATGGATATCCGCAGTAGAACCAGAGTAACTGTCATAGCCCAAAGAATTAGTAAACTGAAGTGGCAAAGGGACGGCCATATAGCTCGAAGAACTAACAACCGATGGGAAGGAAAGGTTCTCGAGTATCGTATCGGCAAGCGAAGTGTAGGGCGTCCCCACACTAGATGGAGTAATGACCTGGTAAGACATGCAGGAAATCAATGGATGCAGGTTGCTCGAGACCGTGCTTTGTGGCATTTCTTGGAGAGGCCTATGTTCAGTAGAGGACTTGAATGAAAAAAAAAACAAGTAAATATGGATGTATTTTTATGATTTATACGCTTAGATTTATACACAATATTTTATTGATACCCGTTTATGGTGTATACCCGTTTATAAATTGATTACATATTGTTACCACAGAAGTAGTTGGACTGCTTAAAAATAATAGGTCCATTCAAAATGGAATATAAAAAAACATAATATTAAACACACACACACACACACACACACACACACACACACACACACACACACACACACACACACACACACACAAATGTGTGTGTATATATATATATATATATATATATATATATATATATATATAAAAGTATATATAAAAAATTCTCAAGAGTAGTCACGTGGAAGTAATTCTATCCTTTCTGATTTCGATTTAAGGTTTAACGTTTTTAAAAGTATTAATTAATTTTTATATAATTGTTTCATACTGAGACATAACCGTATATCCATTCAATGTACGGGCTAATCGGTAAAACTTTACCAGAGACAAATACAATCCTATTTTCGGTTGGATCTAAGCACTCTACGGAATCATCTCCTAAAGATAATACTCCTACTAACCCCGAAGGATGGATAAGTGGTCCACCTGAATCGCCTCCACATACATTCGTTGCTGTATTGCCGCACTTCGGAGATAAGCAAAGGGCAGGAGACAAAGACTCATCATTGGAGCATTTAGAAATTAGCACGTTCAAAACTTGAAGTGGCCTTTTCAGTATAAGAGTATCTTCTCTTTGAATTTTACCTCCTGGGACAGAGACGCTAGTTACTCCAAAACCGGCTATAACAGCTTCGTGGCCATACAAAGACGAGTAATCTATAGCACTAAGTTTGACATAACGTGATATATTCATAGGTGTCGTCCGCACTAGACCAACGTCATTTTTCATTACGCTGTTGTGATACTCTTCGTATGTGATAGTGAATAATGGATGTCTGACTGTATATAAAACATCACTAAATGAATGATTGATCCATGGTGAATTACGCACGTCTCCGTATCTTATTACAATTTTCTGAGTAGGACTTTGCATTTCAGTTAAACAGTGGGCCGCAGTTAGCACCCAGGTTGCTGAAAGTACTGATCCCGTACACAGATGATCATGCTTAGCAATAATAGTGTTATTCGTAAAATTTGCCATATCCTGTATTTCTAAACGAACGACGTATGGATACTCATCTGTGCTCGCGTCATTTCCTCCGATAATTCTTAACGAGGATTTAAAACTGAAACATTTGTTGGATAATAGCATAAAAAGCACTAATAAGCTTAATAATATAAGTTCTCTCAATTGTATTTTATTTTTAAATGACTTGCAATTTGTAATTGACATGTTATTTTTTAAAAGAATATTTTAAAGACTAAACAAAATTAGATGTAACCTATCGCGGCCCTTCAATGTTCAATAATAAAATTACAAATATTACGACTTTTTATTCATTTTTTTATGCTTTTAAAATATGTCATTTCATTTTATATATTATTATACGTATTTTATTGCTTTCTCTTAAGCGAAAAATTTTTTTAAGTTTCTCCATTTTCACAATCGAATTATATTTATGGTTACAAAGTTCAAGCTTTTACTTACACATTTAAGTCTGTATCGATTGTTTTCCTTTATACGAAAATATAAAACGTGCCGTGGCCTTTTAAGAGGTCGCGAGATCGACGCTAGTTACTCCAAAAAAGACAAGTATATACACACACACACATGCACACGTACACGCACACGCACACATCTTCGTAGATCTGTGATCCACAAATTTTCCTCTTAATATTCACTCTTGACTTTGATTTTAGACTGGAACACTAAAAAAGGAAAATTATCAAAAGAAGTAACAACAATTTTAATGTAAGTTTCTCCACTTGTACGTGGTAGAGCCAAGCTGCAGCTATATTATGGTTGTAGCAAGAATGGGTAAGCTCATCCGGGGTACCACCACGATCTCAGAGAATACTAGCGTAAAATAGCAGCTAGATGCCTCTGTGTTTCGTGTGTTGGTGAGTGTAGAGAACCGAAGACGGATTTTACTGGAAACGAGGCATTCCATCTAAGTCCTCAGGAGTCACAACGCATCTGCATTTTGATTCTTAAATGAGGATAAGTGTAGATCTCTATGGACCACAGTATCCACTTTCCATTAGATGGATTGTATAATCGTATATTACCTTTTTCTGATAAAAAATACCTTGTATATTATTTGTTAAATGTTTGCATTTTCACGTGTTAGAAAAAAATAAAACTGGACAAATCTAGAACGGCCACTCAATAAGCAGTAAAATTTATTTTTTTTTCTTTTTTTTTTAAAAACTATGACTTTCATTTCTTATACTTATGAAATATGATATATATATATATATATATATATATATATATAGTATAATAATATAATAAAAAAAACATGAAAGGCCAGACATGATTATAATATTGAGTAAGTCTCCACGATTTTGTATGTAATTGCCTTTAACCTGCACCCGAGTGCCCATATTTTTTTTTGACCCGCGCAGTTGACAATTAGTTTGTTGACAGCCATGATATTTGGAAACATATATATCGAATAATTGGGATTTCAAAACTACATACGATAGCTTATTATTGTGGGCTTAAGCTCATTGAACCTGCACGAAGTAGTGTGAGTTACTCCTGCTTAGCAAAAAATAGGTCAGGGGTCACCTACGTATCTCTTATCGTATCACTACAAAGGAAAAAAGAACGAAACTTCTACAGACTAAAATAGTAATATAAGATAATTTATTCAATTTGATACATCACATATTTTAGCAGGACTTGCAGTGATTGGAAAAATGAATTATTGCTTGTGTTTATTGTCGCTGGTATAAATTAAGGCAATTTGAAATTTAGGACCATTATATAAATTTCGTCAATGATACGTGGTGGAGACTTGCTGCAGCTTTATTATGATTGCAGCATGAGTGGGTAGGTTCGACCAGGTTAGGACTGCCATAATGCAGATAATGCTACTCTGTTTCGTATGGTTAATCTTGAGAACCGTAGACCCTTTTTACTGAATACAAGGCATTCCATGTTGGTTTTCTTGGATGGCAACGCATTTTACACTCATTTTCAAGTACGTGGTATAAGAATATTCAATACCCTATTTATCATCCTGTGCGTATCGTAAGAAGCGACAGAGGGCAACAAATCAGAAGATGGGCGGCAGCGTCTTCCTAATAACGACTAAAAACAAAAAAAAACTGCAATTGCCTACCCACTTGTTATGTTCAGCAGTCATCTTTTGTACGCCGTAACGGTAAAATCATGTACTGCGTGCTCGTTTGACAACCTTATGCTATAAAATATGTAGCAGCGGCATCACAGGGACTACGCTAACTGCTCATTTTTAGAAATCAGAGAAGGCCTCCGAAGGATAACTAAGGCATAACTATATACGTTAAGTAAAGTTATACCTTTACCTTACTTGTTACTATTTTATGAATCTTTTGCTTTCTTCAAATTTCAATACAGCATAGTTAAGATTTTATTCATACTGTGTAATGTCTATATTTCTCCTAAATTTGTCATAAACTACTGGAACGGCAGCAGGTTTTCCTTCATAATAAAAAAAAAGTCAGTTCAGATGATTGAAACATTTAGGTCATGTAATAATGACTGCGTCAGTGAAGTAGGAAAACATAATTTTATAATCTACTTGTAATCTAGTAATTCAAATCGGGAAACATCTTTTGATAAAAAACGGAAACAGCTTTGTCAAATTTTAAACTACAAGATGTAGAACTGGAAAGGTTTACTGCAAGAAAGGAGTCAACAAGGTAATTAAAAATTCCATCCATCTCATTTTTGAGACTTATCCATAAGTTGTTGGTTATCACTCGACCCGCAAAAATAAAAAATGGAAGAATCTAGATGATATCCAACCTAAGCAAACCAGCTCGTTCGTATTCGCATCAAATAAAAAAAATAACGATTTCTTCAGAATCAGAATCGTAAGTTAATCGAAACAATAAAGCCTGAAGATAAAACACTTTGACCAATTAATGTTATAATACTTTCTTATAGAATAGAGGGTAAACAAACGTGCCGCTAACCTGGCAATAAGAGTATCGACAGCCACCCACGAATAACTGCAACACCAGGAGAATTACAGGTGCATTGCCAGTGAATTGCTGGTCTTTCAAGCATGTTACTTTAATTTCCCTAAGTCTGACATAGTCTGAAAATTCACCTAGTGCAATATGAGCTCTAATTGAGCAACTACCAAGGACACCGATAGCCCTTTGTAATCAGAAGCTGAAGTTTTTCACGTAGCTTAGACACGCGGTTAATTTAAATAAAATGTAAGATAAGTTAAGATTAAGTGAAATAAATGATATTTAAATAATTTATTAACGAACTAATATAATGTTAAATGCTACAGTCCGTAGAGCACAAAATCAGTCCAATCATAATATGGTAGGACTCTTAGGGGTCTGAGTTGGTTTGTACGTTTAGCGGACAGTAGGTTAGTGAAAACCAGAATCACTCAGAATCGTGTCAAGAGTCATAAGCACGCAGCAATAGCAGTCACCACTAAAACCGTAACTTACAGATTGAAGGACCTCAGCAGCTTCTGTAGTTCGATTGTTTGCATTGATTACATGAAAAAATAAAAAGCAATTAGTTATTAGATTTTTAATTTCACAAAGGTAGAGATAGACATTCTCAACTATAGATTTAGTAGGTCTAGTTTCTGTGATGTTAATGCTGTTAGCCTATGCGGCTCTTACAGCTTCAACGAACTTAGAGCTCGCGGTCTGATGGCCTGAGAGAGCTATCTTACGTATTGAAACTTCTATCTTGGTTAATTGGGGGGTGTTGATTAGTACACAGTGCAAGGACCTTTTGTAATAGATCAAGGTGCCGCCTCTAGGGCTGGTCAACCTATCATTTCTAACTAAGGTGTAGTTTGCGATCTCAGGATTGCGATGGCTAGGTTTCAGAAGAGTCCCTTGCACTAACATTAGTTTTACATCGTGGTTGAGCAGGAAGAGCGCAATGCCATCCTTTTGGTCCCCGAGACCGTTCGCGTTAAAGAACGCGATAGTCAGAGAGCGTGGTTTAGTTCTACCGAAATTTTTACTGCCATTCTGGTAATTAGTAGAGGTGGTTAGGCGCACTGGATAGAACAGATTGCGTCGATAAGTCCTTTGTGCTCAATAGTAACGTTGAGCTTATCCTGAGGTAAGGTGACTTCGCGGAGATTGCAGGCTAGGGAGAATAGCTCAGCAACGTTGATGTTGCTGATGAAGCCGCAGACTAGTGAGAGAAGGCGGTATATTAAGAAAAATAATTTTAACTTCATTCTTGACAATGACACTGATCGATTTAGTAACTAACTAACGTTAGAATAGATTGGCAATGCAAAAGAGTAGCGTTGAGATCACGGACACGCTAACGGGCTATATAGGCCTGGCGACATTCGTGAATAAAACAAATCATTTGCATTGGCAAAATCTCAGGTTTTAAAGTAAAAATTAGTGTTTGATAAACATAACTCACCTCAGAAAGAAAACCCACAATATTATACATTTAAGTCATAGGTATGATTGAAATGTTTAGCTGTCTAAATGCTGTGTTTTAGAGCAAGTTCAAACAAATTTTACTTAAACGGATAGGAAATATTATCACATTGTATAATAATAATCATCAGAATGCAAAAAAAATTAATTTATATCATTATTACCCAATGCGTATAATGGATTTATAACGATAAATAAAATATCACTAAAAGGAAAATGAAGATGAATTAAATCCATTTACGGAACTTATTACAAATTTCAGAAGCATGTCTAAACAATGTGTTGCAGTTAATACCCACGTTGATGAAAGAAGAAATGGAGTATTGAAGAAAATTACCAAAACTAATAGATAATAATCTATCTGTAAGATTATTCAACTGCTGTATTTTTATTCAGAAAAGCAAGGTTCTCGAGTGGCAGCCACGTACCCGTTGGCGAAGTGTGGGGCGGCCCCTCACTTGTTGAAGTGACGACCTGGTAAGACACACAGGATGTCCACGGATGCAGGTGAATCAGGACCGTGCACTGTGGGGGAGGCATATGTTCAACAGTGGATTGAAAGGTCTGTAATGATCATCACGATGATGATATTTGGACAACGTAGGAAATCCTTGCTTTGTCCGATTTGTGTAGCTTGGCGTCATTTGCACTAAATATTCTGAAGGGCCTTTTAATACTTGAACATGCGATTATATTAACATACAATATACATAT